TGATTTTAATTACTCTCGCGATACCGATTATCCCCTACATAGCTATACTTGCGTCGTTCGAAACCCGACTCGCGCTCGATTATTCGTTCTCTTCTTCTCTGTCGTCTGTGTACGTAATGCAAAATAACGAAAAGTGTCATCAATCGTAATTTTTTATCAAAAGTTTATTAGTTTTCCTGCTGGCCTGCGCCAGGCACGTGTCCATGATTCATCGTTCTCACTTTGCAACGCGCTGCGAAGCTTCCATGCATATACCTATATAGCTCCGAGGCTCAACTGCCATATTATATTATATATATATACGATTTCTTGACAAATGATCGCAAGCTCTGTCTCGGGGCTTTACTTTTCCGCGGTGGCAGTGCACAGCCAACGCAGTCAACGCAGCTAGCTCGCATGTAGCGTCATTTTTATTTATTTCTCGCGGGAGCTCCGTTTCGATCTTTCTCGTGATCCTAGATTTACCACATGCAAAATTTTGTTGTTACGCTTCTTATGCCACTCTCAGTCTCAACCCGAAGCATTACAAAGTTAATAATTGAAATTTTTATACGTAATCCAAGAATAAACAAAATCGGCAATTTCTCACGCGTGCACTTGAAATTTATAATCCATGAATAATGCAATCTCGATGCTCTCCAGCTCGGAAGCTCAGACTCTGCCGCTCTCTATGTGCTGCGCGCAATGTATCCCTTTGCGAGCTGTAGTGTGCAGCTATTATGCAAACGACTGCACGCCTGCTGCAATCGACTAGACCACACGCAAGCTGCTATAGGTATATAAGTTGCATACTCTACTTAGGTTGAATTTACTTATTTTTTTCCCCAAGTGCTTGGAACGCATTAAAATAATGGAAATAAATTTAAAAATTGTTTTTTTTTGTAAGTTATACGTGATGATAAATCCGTGGTATTCATGAGATATGTTAAAAGTTTTTTTTAATATAGTCATAATTAAATGAATGTTCCGATGATATTTTGACAAGGAATTAATTTTTCTTCAAACTAGACTGTTTAAACATCTAAACAGTCTATTTTTGCGATGACACTCGATAAAAAAATAATAATAACGATACACCACGTTGATAAATGAGGAAATTAATTACATTTTCAACTTGGTGAAGCGTAATTGAAAACTTCACGATGTAATATTTAACGTCGGAATTCTAATTTCACAACAAAAACTGCTGTAGACATAATGTATACCGGTGTCCTACATAATTTAGTGAATGATAATAGAGAGAGAACTGAGGTTTAATATTTAGATTTCATTTACCTTGCCTTAGATATTAAGCCTCGGTTACACTTCACATCGTTTTGGATGGTAATATTCGAGAGATTTCGCAGAAAAAAATTTACTCTTGGCAGACAGTTTTTAATTTTTTTCTAAAGGTATGCGACAGCCTAGTGGATTGAAAATTCTCGAGGATACGTCGTTTACCATGACTTCGTGAAGGTTATAAATGTTTGAAAATATTGTAATAGATGGCGCAAAATTTTTTACATTTAACGCAGACAAGTTGCAAAATAAAAAATAATATTTTCGTGATTCTATATTCAATTAAGTTCTCGAGCCGTCGCGCTGCCATTCCACAAAGCTAGGGTGATTAAAATTAGCTGGGAATTTTCCCCATTGTGTCGTATAATGTGCTTTTTCATCTTTCGCACGTGGAAAAATGGATGAATAAGTAGTACACGCGAACGTGAATGAATGAAGGAAACGAGAGGTGAGGGTGTGTGCATGTGCGGGTTACAGAGCAGGTCTCGATTCGTTAATTTGTTGGCGTCGAGGCAACAACGTCTCGGGTGCCATTGACCCACTATCGTCGTAAGTGTAATGGAGAGCCCCAAGGGATTGGTTCGGGGGAGGGGAACTGAGATTGGCTTGCGTTGCTAGAGAAAACGCGAAGGCGGCTCATTTACATGTCGCCGAGTATGCAAGAGAGAGGTGCACTCACTGCTACCCGTAGGTATAAGCGCTCCTTATTGCCAAGCTCAAGCAGTGTACCCCTGTGATATACCTCGGGAACCGTAAACTTTTCGCTTGCAAGCATCTCTTGCACTGACGCAAACACACATACACACATAGATATTCACTAACATCTATATGGGCAAAGACACATAAACCGAAAAATGCCTAAAATCGAAACTATAACTAAATATAACAATACATTGAAAAAAGAAAATTCCCAAAATTTTTGTCCTTTAGGTTCAATCTTCATGGACGTAAAAAGGCTCAAAGTGATATTTTTATTTTATACATAATATCCTGCTTTTCTGTAGGTGACTCGAAAATATATCTGAACAATAAATTTTTGTGTAAAATTTAATCAGAAATTCTTATTTTTTATCAAAATTCACATTCATAACTTAAAATTCATTATTATAATGTTGCAATATGTTCTTATGAAAATCAAAATATAAGTTTTAACCAAATTTCGTTTTCAGCTGATTAGTATGCACAATTTTATGGCATTTGAGAGATGCAAAAATATAATTTCTCCTTCATTTTCATAAATTTTCCTTATGTTTTCACCCTTCAAACTCTACCAAAATGTCTCTAGTGATCAGTTAAGAATCAAATAAATTATTGTTCGAATATTTTTCTTAAGACACCTCTCAAAAAAGGGTAAAATTTATATAAAGGAAATCTAACTTTGAGCCTCTGTACATACCTGAGGAATGGATCCAAACAGCTAAATTTTTGTCAATTATTGTTCGGTATACTCTACAAGAACTTAGATTTTGTCTCGAACTTTGAAATTTTACGGTTGACGTGGCTTTACCCATATGTATACGTACATTACCTACGTATACTATAGCTCTTCGATACAAACAAAAAGCTTACACAAAGCTTTGAGTATCTGTTTTAATTAACTTTTCTTTTTACTCGTGAAGATGAAAGTGTGCACTAATAATCGTTTACTTTTTGATTTTTTTTAATGAAAATTTATTTTTATTACGTAGATGGAATACATTTAAATTGTTGATAATGAACGCGTTAGACTTTTTTTACATCATTGATGACATTAAAAAAAAAATCCACTCCCAGTGTAAATTGTTTAAAAAATGGCAGAATAATCGGTTTATAATCTTCCTTGTGCTTTACAATTCTTAACCATCTCTGAAAGCGTATCCAATTTATTTTTCAATTCATCTAATTTTGTCTGCTGAACTTCGACTACATCATTATCTAAAAAAGAATTAACAATTGTAGCCAACTAGTGATCCAAGCTTCAGTAAAAAACGTTTTATTCAAAAACTCACCGTCGTCGAACAAATCGAAGCCCCAAGCAAAAGTGCACGCGATCAGTGCGAAAAGCAGCGCTACTCTCAGTAAATTCATCTTCAACGTGTAAAGATAGACTGAATTTGCCACGCCGAGACTGCAAATTTATATGCCGTGGAAAACAATACCATGGCAAAAAGCTACATATTTCATGGGATTTCACTTAGAAAGAGCGACAAAACGCGTATAGATAAACCAATAACAATGTGTCACGTTCCAAAGGTACTTTGTTGAAAAATATTACGAAACTAACATGTTGGAAATACAAAACCTCTACGCGCATTTGGCGCGTTGTTAAAAGTTTTTAAATGCACACGCACAAACATCACTCCTTATATATAGGGTTACATCATCGCTCTCGACATACATCTTTGAATTAAAAAAAAAAGAAGAAACTCAAAGAAAAAAAAATACGTTCATCTGCAAAATATTATTTTTCCGCCAAGATAACTGCTTCGAACTTTATGCACTGGTATATTATTTGAGAAGAAATGCGATATCTTGCAGAATCTTTCACAAAACGTACGCGTATGTACTTTGATTTCTTCAATCTCGAATAGCGGGGGCGGCAGTAATTCTGTCTCCCGTCCATGGTGCACGTTTCAAATAGTAGGAAAAATTTGATGATTCGCGGCTTGACCACAAAAGATGAAATTTGCTTCTGCTATACTACAACTGATGATATAAATTTAGACAAAATGTCAGAGAAAAGCAGAATGCTTCAGGTATTTTCACAAATAACTTTGGTTTCCACTTTGTGGCGTAGGCCAGATTTATTTCGTTTCGTCGCAGGAGAAGAGCTTTGTAATCAGTCGGAAAAGGGTTTATATAAACTCCTCTAAAGCCGGGCAGCTCAACTTTTTGTACTAAAACTAGGTTTATTTCAGCGTGGTCATTAATTGTTAAAAGAGAGAGAGAGAGAGAGAGAAAAATAAAAGAATGAAAAAGAGCAAAAACATTCGTCATCTAATGAATATATACTTTTTAATTTTTGATATTTATTAACAACCGTAGCTGCGCACGAGTTAATCCTTCATCAGTTCAATTCTGACAGTATCTACATAAAAAAAGTTTAATAACATATTGATGCGGGGAGCTTATGAATGGAGGCTTGAAATCCTCAATTTGTTGTTGTTGTTGTTGTTATACAGAACGAACATTCACGGCCGATTCCGAAGGGGCTTTTTAGGCGAAAAATTGCGAAATCACGATGATCGCGACGGCTCGACAAAAATATTGACAGATACCTATAACCGATTGCGCGAGCAATACGCAGAAAAATTCGAAAGTTAAAAGGTTTTGCAGGAAAAATTAATCCTCGGCACGCACGCGTATGCGTATAACGAATTTTTATACATAGCAAAAATGTCAAATCCACTGAAACGCGAAATGCATGCCGTACGCGCGATATAGCGTACAGTTGTTGCTGCTCACTTGGCAGAGATAAAGTAAAGCAAACAATCGGGTTATCGCGAAAAGTTTCTACGCACGTGGGTCAGCGGGCATTAGCCAGCGCTCGTATATTATACGCAGTAGCCAAGAAAACAAAAAGACACTCGCGTGTACGTGTTTTTGCATTATTTGCGTTTTCTTTTTTTTGTCGCGCGTCGGGGGCCCAAATGCATTATTGCAAGTCAGCTGTATTACGTGAGGTAGAGCAACGATATAAATCAGCGCGGCAGTCCAGGCCTGCCTAGGCTTATCATACTTACCATGATCCTTTTAACGGATCTTCCGCTGTTATTCGTGACGTTGACGCGCACAGTGATTGGCTCCCCGTGTGCATAGACCGCCCGATCGAGGCTCGCTTCGAGCTTGACTCGGCCGTCGCTCAGTAGGAATTGCTTTTCCACCTCTGCTTGCGGTATCGGCGGCTCCGCTGTAGCACATAGACACACAACGTTTCACAGCTCAATCGAGGTATATATGTATCCATCTCCACATCTATATATTATATCTTGTAAAATAAATGGCGCGCCGGTATATCGTATAACGAGCGAGGATAGCAGCAGGACCCGAGGGATTATTGCACGTTTTCCCGCCGCTCGATATACGTTAGGGCAGCGAGTTTCACCGGCAAGAGTTGTACACCAAGTCCAGGCCTTCCCGTGTTTCCTCTCGATACCCCAGCCCCGACGCTTCTCGCTTTCTCGCTTTCTTCCGCTTCTTTTATTCAACTTATATATATTGCATTTACTATCTATCATTGATTCTCCAGGGAAAATTAGCGTTTAAAAGCCAAGCGAACGGCCTACTTCTCTCTTTGTATAGAAATTTCGTTTTTATTCTTCAAAAACGGACCAATTCCAAGTGAGTCTTTTTGAATCGCAATACTAGTATTTTCAGCCCAAGTGCACTTGAGTTAATTTATCGAGAAGCCGTATATATTATAGATGTATAAAAACGAGAGCTCGTCGAATCGACCGATTGATAAATAAGAAGTAATAGTCTTTACGTGACTCTGCTTTTTCATGTGTCAGATGTATAAAATGCGTGCGAGGAATTAAATTTCGCGATTCGTTTATTTTTTATTCTATATTCAAGAGTAAAAAATATTTCTAATATTTGATTGTATCGAGCCTCGATTATTGATAATTTATTCTTAATATTAACTTTAACGTTGTATTGGCTCACGTTATTTTATCATCTAGTTCCGGCAAAATAATTTTGAAAATTCCTTACTACGTACACTTAGGGTTATTGTACCAATAAGTTTCCAGTTAAAAATGGATCTTTCAGTATCTCGCCATTTTCTAATAAAATTCAGACAAATACTTATAACATTATACTTTAATAATAATAACTCGAGGATTACTCACAAAGTTTACAGAATTTATCGAGAGTTAATTTAAAAAAAGATCAAATGTCATAAAGCTAAATTAAAAAGTGTCCAGTAAATGATCTTAAGAAAAATCGATTCGGGCCAATATCCGGTCACTACTAAATACGTTATATTTTTATTATTTTATTTATTTTATTTGCAAGACTAAAAATACGACAATCAACTATGCCACTTCGATAATTACAGTATGTATTCGAATGTTAATTTATTCAACTTGAATAAAAGTCGCCGGGTATTGGATTTTGACCAGATATTGATACAGTCACCGTCTAATAAGAATTTACGTATATATATAAAAAAATTCAATGCCAGCACAGGATCAAATGAATTTCGTTCGTCGTGCTACTACTTTCATTGAATATGAAATATAGCAACCGAAATAACCCGCGCATGCATCGAAGTTTTAAATTGTCGATTTTTTAAATAAAAAAGAAACTTACCATCCTCGTCGTCGTCGTCGGCATCGTCGAGCTTAATCTCGTCGTCATGCTCGTCGCTAACGTTGCTGCTTTCGTTGTTGTCTTTGCTTCTCGTACGGAAATACTGCAGGGGTGAGCGACTCGTCGTTCCCGTAGCCGGCGTCGTAGTCGTTGTTGCGCCCGGCAACAGCTTCGAAGCTTTGCCGTAAACGACGTTGCGGGGCACATTGTTTGCTCCTTGAATGATCCTTATACCCATCCGTATGACCTGCATTTTTCGCGTCAATTTTTCGTTCGGCTTTTCCGCTAGTAATGGCGAGACAACAGCGACAACGGAAATAATAGAGAAAAAAAACTAGCATAAATATATGCCATACAGTATGAATTTCATTGAATTTTTTTACGCTCCTCATCGCTCTCTTGAGTCATACATACAATGCATTATTCATCGTGTATCCCTTTTCAGCACTGGCCTCTGACACACGTAGGTGGGATAGACGAGAATCATTGTTCAAGGATACTCGATCAGTTTTCATTGGTAAAAAAAAAGAAAAAAAAATAGAAAAAATATGGCCATCGCATAGATCATGTTTCGTCGGCAGTTTGTATATTAAATGCCCACGCGTTATAAAAAAAGATATTCCACCTTGCGCTAGTGCATGTGTGCAAGCGCTCAACGTTGAATTATAATGTGCAAGAGTTTACGGCTAGATGTTTGAGAGTTTGTGCAACCTTGCCGTATAAATAAATCTCGAGAGCTTAAGTATAATACTAGAAAAAAAAAAGACTAATGCGAGCATTTTTCTTTTAAAAATTATATCAAGATAATTGGGTTACAATATTTTTTTACTTATTTGGGAAAAGAATGCGTAGGCTCTTGCGATAAACAAAACTTGTCAGAATTTACGATAATATAAATATTGAAAAATGGGAATATGGATCAAATAATCTTGTAATCAATACATAGAAGAAAAGAAAATGTAGCTGCTACATTACGAAAGAGAAAAATTAAAAGACGCGTATTATCCAGTATAATTCCACCCCTCTTTACGTCCGAAGAAAATAAAAAGAAACAAACTTGCCCCACACACACACACAACGCAAGCGGTCGTAAAGTTTTACGGGACGCTTCGTTATACCTTTAGCCGCGTATACACACATACACACGGACAAACATACATAAAACATGTACTGCACAAAAGTAATAATGCGGCGCAGAAAACGAAAATACAAATAACACGTGATGTGAGCCGCGGTCGAGCGCATTTTACACGGGTCGTCGAAGGGTTATCCTCGGTCATTGTGAAAGTTGCTACTATGCCAACAGCAGTTATATTTAATGAACTGAAATTTTTAGTAGCCCGTCGCTATCGCCGTCAGCTATATATACACCGCAATTCCTGCGCGCGTGGATTATATCCATTATAGAAAAATAAATTATATCGCGGGCGGGCGCGCGTCCATCGCCGACGCTCTGCAAAGTCCGTTGAAATTTTCATAAAATCGTTCAGCTCGTGCTCTCATCTGTTGCCGCGCTCATTGGATAAAATAAGAACTTGTGTGTAACGGGAGCGGACCGCGGCTTGATTCGAAATTTTATTGAGCTTTGCGTGCGAATTTTTCACTCGAGCTGCATTCGCGTTCGCGCTCTTGTGCTGGCGGCGCAAAGTTGATTGAATTCAATTTTCAATAAAGTGTTTGGCCAGGAAAATTTGATTTTATAGCTCGATTCCTGTATGGGGGTTATTACAGTCGTATATTACAAAGCATCGATACAGATATTTCTTTGTAACACGTTCATAATAGTTTATACATAAAACAAATTGCAAATAATACAGCGCGATGGCACATGCAGTGCAAATCTCGCTTTTCTGATTAAAATTCAAGCCCTTTTAAAAGGCGATCCGTTCGCCCCTATTCATGGAGAAATTTCCATCAATGAATATGTACTGCGAAGCGCATACGAATACTTCTTATTATACGAGGGTGCAACAAAAGCAATGAGCCTCTTCAATATCACTCCTGGAACGTTTCTTATGTCAAATATCTCCAACAATGAACATGTATTATGCGTCTTTTTGGATTTTACTTTGAAGAAAATATCTCATTTTTTATTACGTAAAATTTACATGAAATTTTATAATAATTTTTAATTTCAATGATGCTTTCATTTAATTATAAAATCATATAATTAAATTTTATTTAATTATAAAATTATAAAAATCATAAAATCCGAATTCTAAAGTTCCAAATAAATATGTCTTTTTAAAATCTTGTTACACTTTGGGTTTTGCTATTGAAAAGTTGTTCCGCAGTGCATATAAAGTACTTCACCTCGTATGTGTTTGATTTCCTTTCTGCAGTACCACCGATGCACAAATGAAATAGCTCAGGCGACAAAATTACAAGCCCATGGCGTTCGTTCAAATAGCATTTATTACGAGTTTAAATATTTGCATTATAAATAACGCGGCACATTTCGAAGTTAATTTAATTAAAATTCTCATTAGTCCGCGCTACACGTTTATTATTGCGCACGGAAAGTGCACATCGCAGTCAATAGTTCGATGCACATGTGCACACAGGAGGTGTACAGTCACGAAGGCTCGACTCGCCGTCGCCTCATATACTATACATCTACAGCAACATGTGCATACGTGCAGTGTGTGTACGATGGACGTATGAAACACTTGCGTGTAATAATTATGTCTTTATCGATCACGGCACGCGTACCGACGTTTGACCGCGTTGCCGACCCCACATAACTACTTCCTTTTATGCTATTATATAATATGTATCGCGTACGCCCGCCTGCGTTCATATTTATGTATTTATTCGCGCGAACGAGAATGTGCTCAGAAAGTTTGGATACTCGCACGCCAGCTCGCTTTGACGTTTGACAGACCTAGCCTACAGTTCGATTTATCAATTTCTCGATAAAAACAAAGAACAAGAAGATGAAAATGCGCATCGACCGGTGTTGTGCACAGGCGAAAATTGAGAGTTTTTTTAAGCACACACAGCTCAATACTGCTTCATTGGAGTATATTGTAATGCATAAAAGTTTCGCGTTCACTATGTGTAAATGCTGCACGCGCGCGTGGCCTTTGTTTTTTTGGCAGCTCCTTTTATTAGCTCGTTCGATACATTACGATCGGTCCGCGCCTGTATAGATATTCGCTTTTCAAATTGTTTGCCTTTTTTCGTAAGGTTCGCTCGCCGGAAGTTCAATAAGCACTTGCTCTTTTAATCTAAATTTTTGCGAGAGCGAAACCAATGCCTTTGAAACACAAGTAGAATAGGCATCGCGATGGTCGGACGCTCGGCTGCGTCGTACACGCGCCTCATGAGGTATGTGCGCGTTTTAATATTTACATTTTATATCTTTCATTTTCAAATGCCTAAAAATACGTGGATATTAATACCGAAACCGAATTGCAATTGAACTGGCAAAAAAGCTGGCGCGCGGCTACCAAGTTCGGCGAATGTTTCTTTACTTTTCTGCTCGTGTGAATATCGATTTTACAAAAAACCATATTCGCATCAAAATATCTGGCATTGGGAAAGATCAAAATTGCCGAGAAATTTGAATATATATTTTCGAGAATTTTTCAAACTCGCTCTGTAGAGAGGATATGCTTTTTGAAAATGAAATCATATAGTGTTTCACCTTCGAGCAAAATATACGTAAATACGCGCATAGGTAAACGCGCGTAGTTCTTAACATTTATCATCAAATGTACATGTACGCAACGGACTGATATCAAAAGCAACGTACGTAATTGAACTGTTCTTCCAACAAACTGAAATTTGTGTAGCAAATGCTCGTGGCACTCTTGAACTAAAGTTTTATTCGATACACGACGTGGTATAAGTCACTGCGTTCTCCCACCCTACCGACTTCTCGTAAAGATGTTCATCAAACTTCGTTGTTACTTCGCGGATAGTTAAGTTTATGATGCCACTGCTGGAGCCAAGTTGTAATTCCCCGTAGCTACGAGCCCGTTAAATTCGCACGAAATAGCCCATCAATGTATAAGTTTGTGATATTTTAAAAATTATATATATAAAATATTATAGGGCAATTCGTTGCCCTATCTCGTATGAAACAGCTTGTTGACGCTATTTTTCTTCTTTAAATCGCGCCAGCTCCCGCGCTCCCAAGTTATTTTCAATCTCGTTTTAGCTCACAATCCGTACTCGCGTTCTTTTTTTTCATTTTCTTGTTAGCAATATGCCACAGTAAGTTTTTTAATTGAAATCCATCTCGTGCGCTTCGGAGTGGACTATACTCCGGTTAGAAGCTTGAGTGAAATGTCCATATAATCTAGTCCGCGAGATGTGCATTAAATTGTACATTACGCCGACACAGGCTCATATAATGCACGCATACGCTTACGTAGGTATAAGGTAAATGTAGTTTGTGCCTACATATACATATCGATGTATGTGTGACCGTGTCTGTGCACGTGTACACACCCGTCGGGCTTGATCTACTTAATTAAACACATATTTCATGGAGAATTTACTGAAATGCAATACAGCGCAGAAGTTTGAAATGCGCCGCGTCATACGAAATGTATCCCTTTGCATTATCATTCCAAGCTCGTTATGACCTACATGGCTTAGTATCCATGGTATAGGTACATAAGGTCACTACTTTGAAGCTCGAAAACAGCGGGCCTTGATGATGACCTGCTGCACTTGCACATAGCTCGGACACTGCCCGAGTATAATAACATGTACCTGCGATGTATATCATACTCACCAGCGTAGATCCGCACGTCGTATCTCGTACCAATTGGCGCGCCGTTGTACTCTTTGGCAGGGATCAGTTGAACGGAAGGCGGTGCGTACGGCGACACCGATATGGTAAACGGATGCGCGTTTGGATGGAATCGTTTCATTAGAACTTCCTGCAAAATATAAATAGCATCGAATATCATTTTTCTCTCTCGGCTTTCGCGTGACAAAAGATGATACGCGAGAGCCTTGATGCTTAATAAGGTTTGACAAGTTTATTTAGCGGCTTTGATCGCGCATATATGCATAATATATTGCATATATTCTCGTACCAGGCTGAGTGATTAACGAAGAAAGAGGGAAGTATGCATATAGAACACTCAACGACGACGACGACGATTTATCTTGGTCGGAATAATACTTTAATTTTCGCGCGCGCGTCTAATTAAGCACCGAGCAACGAGCTAATAAGCAAAGCTCGCGGCGACGATAACACTGGCAGCCGGCCAAATGCACGTGGAAAAACACATGCTAACAATACGCGTTAATGCAATTTTGGCTCTGCTCGTCGCCGCTTTATATAATTACATGGATATAAATGCGTGTAGGTTGTTATTATCGATGAGTCTAGGCGACCATCGTTATATTTTCTGGTAACTTTATGATTTTATTTATTACGCTAATCTCGTCAGTATAGAATAAATTTTCTATACGTATTGTAACAAGGTAATTTTAAGTTGAACTTACTAAATAATCAGGTTAGTCGCCTCAACGTACCTAATCGCATAGCCAAGTTCGTGAATAATTTAGTTGTTCAAACTTCCCGCTCATAAATTCAGTAATATTTTATTAACGCCACTGCTTGACTCGTACTTCATAAAGCTAATATTTTATTTGATTTTAATTTCTGAATCGACCTGATATTCAAAGTATAGTTTAATCGCAAATACTCTTGTATCATGCGAGCAAAGTATGCAATAGTATTTTAATCGTATACATGAATGAAAAACACATTAATATGTGAATCTTGTGCATGATAAAAAAGTGCGTACAGCCCGTCTCGTAAATAAGATGAGTTGTTTCGGCCTATTTTTCATATACACTTTGAAAGGGTTTTTCAAAAAGGTTCTCTTTAAAAGTGACTTTTCTGCTTCATTTGAAGTATTTTGAACGTGAAAATTTTAATAGTTATTTAAAAAATGAGAAGTACGAAGTATATCACGCGAATACCAGATACCTATGTGACAATGTGAAAACGCGAGACAAGGTGTTGACACTTTATAATGAAACTCATTAATGAGGAATTTCCCATTTTTTTGAAAATAAACTGATAAACTCGATTCTTATGTTTGCAATAATTTTGAAGTAATTTATAACTATTTTACAAAATGAAACAAAATTAGGAATATTTTTAAACAAAACTATTTTTGTAAAAAAATTATACATTTAATCAAATTATTTGAAACATTAATCAGGAATTAGTTATACTTACGAGGAGACCACCCCAGCTCCGGGTCATGGATTTGCTCTAAAATTTTTTTGGGGTCTCCTGGTACCCAATACTGAAGCTCCCTGTGCTTAGTTTGATCTCATCGACCTTAGGGCCCATTTTGTAGAGGATTTTCCACATTATAAAAAAATTGTTGTTATTTTTTGTATCGATATAGAAGTACTGAAACGAAAAAGTGCAACGATAAAAAGTTTTAAAAGTTTTCAAAGAATCTGCTTGAATTTTTTCAGAATTTTTGGGACCATTTATTACTTAATTCAAGAGGCCCAAATTTGAGGCTTTTTTATAGATTTTAGGACTTCTCGAAGAGAGTGGTAGATGGTCCCAAAAATTCTGAAAAAATTCAAGCAGATTCTTTGAAAACTTTTAAAACTTTTTATCGTTGCACTTTTTCGTTTCAGTACTTCTATATCGATACAGAAAAAAACAACAATTTTTTTATAATGTGGAAAATCCTCTGAAAAATGGGCCCTAAGGCCCATGAAATCAAACTGAGCACAGAGAGCTTCAGTATTGGGTACCAGGAGACCCCAAAAAAATGTTGGAACAAATCCATGACCCGGAGCTGGGGTGGTCTCCTTGTTAATTTAACGAATGTTTTAATAGATACAAATTCTACGTTATTTTAATGAATAAAAGCTCACGATAAATTTTAGATTGGATAATAATCCTATTCGCGCGGTCCATCAATCGAATGATTTTACTTTCTGAATTTTAAATTCTAAATATCCGATACGTTAAATAGCATATTCCCACGCAGCTGATGATCATTACATCTGGCGCGTGTACGTAATTTTCAAATACGACCGTATTCGCAACGACTGGATGGCTATTTCTATAATAATAAAGTTATTTCTCGATTAAATGACGAAATGATGCGTATAAAATAGACATCGAACTTAGCCTCGATCGATCCATGAGTATTATATACGCCGGGGCGTTAAACAAGCCCGGCGCGTTCATGCGCTTGTATTTTCCATCACCGGTTTAATTTTACAAGCCCACGCATCGCCAATTGCGACATAAGCTTTTGAAACGAATTTAAAGTGCAATAATCGCACGAGGTACACATGCGTAATTTAACTTTGCGTGAGGCGTTTAAAATGAAAATTCATCGTGATACACGCGCACGCGACAGAGCATTAACGTGCTGTATACAAACATTGTCTGAAAATAACTTTTGGTTTTTTGTACTTTTAAAAAATATTAAGATATAAAGATGTATAAAAAAATATTGAAAAATGAAAATAAATCTCGACTCATAATTTTCATCGAAAGTTATTTCTATATTCTTTGTTAAAAAAAGTTCTCGTATCATTCCTTCAGATCTATTCTCAAGTGCCACCGTGAATCTTTACTAAATACGATTTTATTTTGTTTTCGGAGTAAAAGATGAAGGTTGCAATGTATACCGATTTTTTTTACTTACACAATCGTAGAAACTTACACAATTCTGATAAAGATGATTCTTTCCTTTTTTTCTAGATCAATAGCTCGAATGAAACCTTGCATTATACTTTTAACGATGAAAATTCCAAGACCTTTCTCCAATACACATAACTATTTTAAGTGGATATTTTTTTACTTCGCTGCCAAGTCATGAATGTACTTTTTAAGGGGCTTATTAGAGTAATGATAATTCTCAAGTTACACATGAAATTCCGAGTTTCTTCCGATAATCCAAGATAAAAATGAAATCTATTGGCTAGACGCAAAAAAGGATCGAGAAGTGTGTGTGTGTGTATCCACGCGGCAAAAACTTTTGAGCTCCGTCGGGGCTTTAAAAATGTTATTTCACTCGCTCGAGCTGTCCGTCCATTATTCAGTCGGCATTAAAAGTTCTCCTACGAGGAGGTGAAAAAGGCTCTCGAAATCGTGGAGCTTGCGAAAAAAGGACACACAATACTCGAAGTTATTGCCAGTGACAATCGCTTTATTTTTTCTCTTTCCTTTTTTTCGTTTGTTTCTAACCGAATGCTCGATGTGACTCTCTACTAGCTCGATGTACCGCTAGGCTCCAAGTGTTGTTGTGTATACTACGTGTGGGTGGGTGTCTGTATATCTACCACACTGTACGTGTAGCTGTTGCATTCTAAAGTGGAAACTACAGGTGGTAGCTGGCAGAGTTATAAGACTCTGAGCTTTTTTACACTTTGCAGCACAAGTTTGCTGAGCACAGCCTGCTGCTGCTGCTGCTGCACTAGTAAGAGTTTTCCTGCGATGCCTTTCTTGATTTCCTTTTTTCTTATTTATATCGTCTTCCTTGTACGCTCGTGCATTTGTTTGCTTTTTTTTTCTTACTTTTGTGGCAGCTTGATATACAACGGAGTCTATTATATATGTACGAGCGAAAGAAATACATTTTTCTTTCGCGTTTTCAATATTCTATTAGGCACACGTGTAGAAAAAGTACAACAACTTTGTGATTTTCACTACGGATTTGTTTTTTTAAATAATTGAACATAAAAAGTTCATTTATTATGAAAACCACACTTGCAATTTGTGAATTGAAATAGTTTTTTTTATAATCGTTTTCAATTGAAAACGATTATAAAAATTGCAGTCGTATTAAGCGTACAAAGGCCACTTAAAATACATCTGTTTTCACACACTTTGAGTTTGATCGTTCAAGATATAATCAGCTAAAAGCGTCAGTGCTTGAATACCGTTTTTTCATGCAAACGAATTTTGCAGTTGAAGTTTTATACAAAAGTAGTAGCGAAAAAAGCCTTTGAAAAATTTGCCTTTCCGAGTTATTCAACGTGAATAATTTTAGGAAATAACCAAACTGGAGTGTGCAAAATAAAAGTACTTTTTTAAAGTACGAATTTTGAAAGCAAAGGTTTTATTCGTGAAATTTTAGTCAAGTGAATTTGATTTAAAATTTTCCAAGTTTTTTACCCTGTCGACGAATCATTTTCATTTCAAGAGGTAAATAATACATGTAAGATTACGATTCAATACTTCATCGCAATATATACATGACAGTACAAGAAACAGAGAGCGAGCGTGGAAGAGAAATAGGGAGAGAGGGAGCAAGAGAAAGGAAGTATTTCTTGTCTTTTTGCGAACATACATCTTGATCCACGCTGGGGGTACATGTGCAGGTGTATCGGAGAAAGTTCATGAATTATTGAAGATACTACGCCTCTACCTCTTTCCTCTCGCTTCGGAACTTCCTTGGAGACTCGATTTGGTTCCCTCTCTTTCAGTCACGCATTGCCTCATATGTTTCTTTAAAGAAATGCAAAACTCGTTTTTTTTCTTCTCTCTCTCTCTCTTTGTCTCTCTCTGTTTCTCCCTCACTATTTTTTTTCGATGCGTTCTTGACACATATGCAGGGAACCGAACCGGTGCAGCGAATTCTACTAAATAAATTCGTTTCATTCTGGACCGATAACAGGCATATCGCAATACTTAAAGCGCGTATACGTAAGGTCAAGGTCAAGGTCGCGCTGCTCCTCGCAAGTTAACTTCGTACTTTGTGACGTCCAAAATAGAACGGCTTCTGTTTGTGCCTGAGTGCCAGACCCGCTCCCTCTCCCTCTGCATGCAAAGGATATGCATCGCAGTCGCCTGTAACTCGAAACCCGAATACACCTAAGCATATAAACGTACAAACAAATGGACGAGAGAGCTTTAGGACTTTGCTCAAAGTATCGTTGAGGCGCGCATCGTTGACCTTTGATGCCCAAGTCAAATGCGTTCGCGTCGAGAATTCAAGCGGACTGTTTGCGAGATCAGCTACTGTGTGCTCCGCGCGCGAGAGGAAGAGAGAGAGAGAGAGATATGTATATAGAACGGGAGGGAGTGACTGGGAGAATTAGAGGAAGAAGATGAAAGAGCCTCCAGGGCTTAGTTGCAGCAACGCGGTGACAATCCAGTGGGACATACGTGTATATATCTTAGTGTATGCATATGTGCGTATATAGTATGTGTGCGTCGAATCTCCGCTACTCGCTCATTTGTATTGTACGCAATCTTCCATGAATTTTCCGAGATATGTTTGTGTGTCTGTATATCTTTGCAATCGAGTGCAGTTGATGCGTTTGCATGCACAGCTTATATACGCCTCGAGGAAATGTTTCGAGTGTTACGCACGCGCTGGCTCGAAAATCGAAGGTCGGATTCGCGCGACTCGCCCGTGTAAAAAGCGTAGGTACCGACCAATGAAAAATATTTTATAATTAAATATTGCGCGTGCGAGAGGCGCTCAAAAGACCCGAGTCGCGCGTGTAATTCAATTCTTTCCCAATGGCTTTTTGTAAAAATGCTGCAGGTAATTAATTTTTTAATTGATTTTCATCCCTAGTCAGAGGAAAAGGATGTCGGGGGAAAAAATAGAAGAAAAAAGAAGGATTTCGCTGCGAGCTATGCTTTGGCGATGTAAACCCGCGCGGCGTGTTTCCTGTCCTAGAATACTAAAAACGTCGCGCATTCTAAATCCCTCGCACAAATCAATAATGGCAGCATTTATGTTTTTAGTCAAGTTTATATACATGATATTCGTATTCGTCGCAGGAATAATCTCGAGCTTTACGCTCGGATAGTTTCTCGCTTTGATCGGTTGCGCTTCTGCCAATGCGCGTATTGTTGATCATTTCGCAGCTGGCATGCGTATGATATACGTATAATGCCGCCGCGCGCTCTTTGTATGTACCTAGCCATGGAATGTTATTCAATAGCATCGGCAGAAAGCAATGCCTTACTCGCATTACCTTGTACAGATAACTGCGCATCCCAAGTTGTAGCTAAGATTTCGCGCGAGTCGAGCGAATCCAATGAAGTTCATGCACTCGCAATAAGTGTGCTACGGCTTGAATTAATTTTAGCTCCGTTATGCAACATTTCCAGAGAACAAAAAAGTCCATGCGTTTGAGAACAAAGTGAAAGGTAGGGAGGATATCGAATATTTATTGGAAAGCGAATTGACAATTGGTAAAAGCTCTCACTTATCTTTCGATCAATATAAACACGCCAAGGATCGAATATTGTGCAGCGAAGCTTATGTAATTCTCCGACATCGATGTGTATATACTACGTGTATTTCGTTAGGGCTTTGGGGAAATAGCTCGAAAGCGAATTATTTAATAGAAAATGTTTCCCTCGTAGCCTAGTTGCCGCGAATATATACACATATATATAGCATAAGTGCGTTCGACAGTTGATTTCCGATTATACTCGTGAACGGACGGAACTTTTCTAAGAGATAATCTGAGAATTTTCTTGTTTCTTTTTCCCTTCCTCTATATACATTTCATGAATAGCACCTGGGCGTGCAATGTATCAGCGCACGAGGTATACGACTAGCTTTAAGTTAAGCATATATGCATATGTATTGACAATTAATGGACTGGCAGTGCGATCGCTAGCGGAGCGTGTATTGACGCGCATCCCTTAAGCCCTGGTCAAATACTGCGCTGCAACTTTGCTCTTTCTCTCCAGCCTCAGTTGCATATACATATATAGAGTATGCCTCACACTGCACAGGCATATGTACCTATATATGTATAGGGACTGGCGCACATATACACGACTAACTTGTGACGGCATGATTGACTCAAAGAGCGCCTTTGAGTTTACGCCTAGACGCGCCAATCGCCCATGTGTACTACTACGTATACATAAAGTTGAGCTTGCTGATGCGTGTGCGCCGCGACGGCCCGCGCGCCTCCATCCACGCTACTGCACCGAATTGCTTATATTAACGTTAACACTATAATTAGGCACGAGCTTTTAATGGAGGCGCAATTTCCATGTGTATTTTGATTTGGCGTTCACACTCGCACACACACACACACACACATGCACGCACGTTATGTGCATACAGTTGGTCTTTGATGCTATGGGCTTATACTTAGTCGCGAGCGAGCACCGCCATGGCTCGCGAATATAATAGGCAAAGATCAAAGTTTTTCAACGCGACTCTTTACGTTGTGGGCTCGCAGAACGAAGCACGAGTGCGAGCAGATAGGAGCAGTTTCTCGTTAATCCGGCTCGGCTACGCGCCTCCTCGTAGTATATACTTATATGTAGCGTGGCCGTCGCAAGTTTTTTCACCACCGAGGAAGCTCAAACTACTTTTTCTTCAGTCTCTCGAAATTTCGCGAGCGCAAGTCTGTTGCAAAAATTATAATCCAAAGTTTCAGAGAGAATTTCAGCCTATTTTAAGCGTAAAACAGTATTTTTCTTAATGCATCGCGTGATGAATTATGCAGCCCGTCTTATTAGAATAAAAAGTATATTATATACGAGCTGCTTGAGTATTATAACGATAGGCTTTTCACGCCTTGTTCTGTTTTTTCTGTAACCGTGTGTAGGCTATGAATGTTGCGAAGATTAATGATTTTACAAATAAGACGCTGATAAATGGTGTTATCGTGCATTAGCTTCGATGGATCGATCATTTTTCCCCTATGCTTTTTTTTCAACAACAGTCCTCTCACTACAGTTAATTCTTCTAAAACTGACGATTCCTTGCAAATTTAAAATACATTTTTTCTAACAAGCTGAACACAATTTATTACACTTTTATTATCTGTAAATCGAATCAGAGGCTAATTAAATTTTAGACAGCTGAATATCAATGAAAATTACTACATCGTTATTTATCGCAACCAGCTAACTTACTTGGAACGCCGTCGTGGGCTCTTGACGATCCGACGAATAATAAGGTGGATAAAGTTGAGCCAGCGCCATTATAGCTTCGTTGAAAAATTTCAATCCCATCACTTCTTCGTCTTCTCGGCCGTAGCGGAAAGTCAGCGTCACTTGTCCGTAAACCTTGACATCACAATGAAAAGGTGTATTTTCATTTTAATCTTTTGTATCTCTCCATCTCTTTCTCTGACATTACGTAAACCCGATACATTTATAATAAAAATACAAACTTCAGGTTTTAAATGAGAAAAAGAATCCGAGTTGATAAGATATGGTGTGTTGTATTACTGTCGTACCTTTTTGTCTTGAAGAATTTCTGGATCAATTAAAAGAACTCCTTGAAGTTTATCGATTTTCCCGGCAGTGACAATGAGATCCCGATTGGCTAAATACAAGGTAAGCTTGCCGTTCTGCGATGACTTTTTAAAGGCCCTGTTTTTGAGGTTAATTAAAACTATATTACAGCCAGGTATAACATTATTTTCGCTTACACAGTGTGGCGTGAAATTGTATTATATTTTAACATTGTTCATTGGTAAAAGCAAGGGATGAATCGATAGTATCATAAAAGCATAAATTGCAGAATTTCAAAAATAATAACGAAAGTCCAAAAGAGTCTTGCGGGAAGGTTTAAGTGCGCGTCGAAACTCGTAATCAAAGGGTAGTTCATTATCGACTTTTTAGAGGGAAAACAATCTATTTGCTTGTCTTAATTGAGAAGATTTACAGATGAAGACTTTTTTATGCTTTGCTTTGACTTTAGTAAGTCATCATTCTTTGAAATTTTATCCTGAAAAGGGCATACTAAACTTTACTTATACATAATATATTAAACCAAGATCAACTTTAATTTTACGTTATTTGTTTGCAACTGTACGTTCACTGAAATTTACAACTATGGGAGTATAAATACAAGTATGGATGTTTACCAGTATGGATGTAAATATAACTTTAGGATGAATTCTTACCTTTGACTATAAATGTATCCAGTCTCGGGCTCACTTGGTCTTTTCATGCTTAGCCTTGAATAACAAAAAAAGTATGGTGTAAATTATTAGTGGGAGTTGTAGTTCTTGAAATTGAAATATTTAAGATAGTTTGAGAGAAACTTGAATTATAGATTATTAAATAAGCATTTAAAATATCTTGATAGTTAAAAATTTAACTTTTTTTTCTTAATAAAAAGAATTATAACATTTGCTATTTCGATTTCTGAGTCGGTAATAAGTATCAAGGAAAGTCATTACAAAGTTAATTCCAAGACGTTATTGACAGTTCGCAACCTAACTTTATTTTTTATCTCACTTCTTAGGTTGTTATAAAATGCAAAGGTGAAAAAATTGAAAGAAAAAAAAATAACACGTGCAAGTTCTGGTCTACGAAGTTCAATTAGAAGGAATGAAAGTTCAGCATTGTGCGATACCTGTATATTATTTTGCTCGAGAGAGGGTCGAAGGTCGATTCACAACTTGTTGGGTATTTTTTTACACTAAGGATGTTGTAGGGTTGGACAGTTATATATGCGTGTTTATAAATATTCTTCGTGGGCCCATAATGATGCTAATTTGCTTCATTATAAGTTATAGCTATATTTCACTTTTTTAAAATTCTCCTATAATTTTATTTAGTTTTGTGTTTTCCAATCAATTTAATGTTACGTAAAGTTTTTTAAATTACTCTTGAACTTTTGCATAGTAAGGAAACGTCTTTTGTGCAAATTTGGCACTCTGTAGTCATGTTATCGTGGAAGCTGATTCTCTATTTTGACAAGCAAATTTGTTGTGTGGCTAAATTGGATAAACGTGAAATTTATTTTTCGAATAAAAATAACTTCATTTTCTAGACAGTAATTAATCCAAATGATTACTCTGAAATTGGTTGATTATCTGAAAATTTTATTTCACACACATAAATTCATCGACTTGAATTTTTTAAAGATTTAATATTTTTTCTCCCGTATTATCAATTAAGAGCATTACTGATGAACTTATTTAACGTTACCTTCAATATTTTGATTTTTTTTTGCGCATTGACATGACTTTTTTTCAAATTCAACTAGGTTATAGTTTAATCCCTATATGTATTAGTATTCGTGGACTTGAATATTTTTTCGTTGAGGTCAAAATTACGCAAATCCATTAAAGTAAATGATACCTTCGAGCTAATTAGCATCAATGACTTTGGAAAGCTTAACGAGTCGCGGCATTAATAAATTAGCGGCATTTTATCTAGAGAATGCAACGCTGGTCAAAAGCTTTGTCATTATTACCCGCACTTACATTAACGTCGTATACGGCAGCGAGAAAATTGCAGTACAAGCCATTGACTGGGCCGACCAGGCCAGTTGTCGGCCGTTCGCGCAATGCTTCCACACACTCACTCGCGTATACAGTATTTCGTCAAAATTATACGGCATGTCGCGCAACTTATCAAGATCAGCACTGAAACTTTTCATTAAGTTCTCATTCTTGAGCCAGTACGTGTGCTGTATGTACGTATATATTTATATATTGCCGCGCTGGCAATGGCGGTATAGCTAAGTCACGCAAGGAAAGATCTTCCCGGAGATAAGGCAGGCGAGTGCAGTACGCCGCTGAATTTTGCACTGTGCCCATGAATATTCCTTGTGTGCGCGTCTAGCGGGGTGTACGGAGCTATGTATGCAGCGATGCACGTCGAGTTTGCGTTGCAGAAAGGAAAAATCGATTATACGTAATACGTGTAGAGTGTATTTAGCGATTCCAGCGTGTATATACATGATGCACAGGATCTCTCGAGGTCGCACTACGTGGGCTAGATGAGACGTGAAAGTTATACTCGCGATCGCTATAGGTGTCTACGTTTTTTTTCCCTTCCAGAGGAATGCAAGTGGTATTGAGAAGTCGGGTTAACTCTGCCGGGCAATTGTTTCAAAAATCAACTACTGGATTGGAAAAAAGTCGAATGAAAGTGTTACTCAAATATAACGTCGTTTCGAATCAGGAAATGCGTTGCTTCGCGTGCAAATATTTGAATGTATTGTGAATGTATTGACATTTTTTACTGAAACCTAACAAATCAAAATGCACGTCAAGTTATATGTAGACGATCGATTCTAAAATGATTCTTATAATGCCTTCAACTTTTGTTCAATACTAAAATTGAAAAAAATCGGACTCTCACTAAATTCTTTTATTTATTCGAAGAATGTTTTATAAGGTTTTGGAATTTTAATGAATACAAATTGAATAAATCAAATATGTTTTGACAAAATATTACTGAGACTAAATAGAAAGTATAAATTTTTGTTAATTTCACATTTTTTAACTGAATGAAAGTATCATTAGTGGATTACTATATGTTCACTGTTACATTTGGCAAAATACAGTGCACCAAACTACCAAGGAAAATTCAAGTCCACATAAGGAAATAAAGATGTAGAAAATAACTATAGTTTCTTGGAAGATCTCTGTAGGTATAATCCAGTGTGCTCTGGCTCGGGGGTTATATAATGTCATGAAATTACATGGTGACTTCCGTCGAACGTACTTAACAAATTAAACTGTAAGATGAGGCAGCATGGCTTGATTTTAATCAACTGTATGAAGAAGCGACTGCACAAAAGTCGTTTTATTATGCACGTATCTACGTGACCTTTTTTGTACAATCGTCAAAAGCAAATATTCCATTCATTCAGTGGGGTATTCACGCGCGCGTCTGTACAATGAAAATTGATCATTTACTTTTCAAGCTCGATACTTTCGACCGAGATTCAGAAGACGTATACTTAAATTCAAGACAAATTATGATTCATTTCTTTTATCGAGCCACGAGTGTAAAAACAACTCGACGTGGCTCACTATAAATCTCAATTTCGCGGCCTGCCTGCCAGGCGCGCTTATATGAAACTAAAAAGCTTCAACTGTCGTACAGCGTAACAGAGGAGCACGCACAGATTAAACGAGCGATTCGAGCGCTCTTTGTAATTTCTTCGAACCGCATACACAGACCGCAGGAGTTAAACTGCTAATCTCGGGAGGAAAAAATCAATATCGATCACTTGAGCTGCTCTTAAAAGCAGCAGCCGCAAAGGCATCGACGATCACCGTCGCCATTGCGTGTGCAGTGTCTCTTTCCGCGTGTTTGTCGTTATACGGGCCTGCGCACTCGCTTTATAATTGAGCTTTATATACGCATTCGCTTGGCAGCGCAAATCTTCATAATCGCCTTACATGGCTCGAACGCGAGAATTGCCGCGTTAAAATTTAGAGCGCGTGCCGCACACGTTTTATTATGTATAATGTATATACATAATATACACATACATACATTTGTAATGAAATCTGCAGTAGGCCGGTAGCCGCGGGTAAGACGCTCAAAGGTTCCGTCGATGATTTATCATCACCTTGCGCCGTGCCCGCGCAGCACCAGAATATTACGTACGCAGTGCGGCCGCGATGAATATAGAATAATAAAGATCTTTGCAGATGGTCGCCTCGTTTGCCTCGCTCCGCGCACATGATATATGTATTGTTTCGAGCTGCCACGAGGCCAGAATAGCAGGGGGAGGGCTCTTTCTCTCTCTTACTTATCTCCAAGTCGCTGGTACGCGCGCTATACTTCCAGCGCTGTTATCGCATCACGAGAATAAACCTCGTATACTGTACTACCCTCGGCCAGTGCTCGCACTATACTAGACACTCTACGGCCAAATCGATATCCAGGATTGCTCGTGTATATCTATAAACAAAGTCACCTAATAATTTTACTGAATATATATATGTGCGCGACTTTAGTGATTAAGCAAGTTCGAAACCGTCTTGAAATTTACTATGCCTTACCGGTTCTATTGAATGGGATGCTTATTTCGCATTTAGTTCCATGCACGAATTCAGAGAGAAACAGAAAAGTTCATAAGAGCATAAAGCACTTCCTCAGTTTTATTACTTTATATTTAAACTAAGACAGTTTTTGTTTTATATTTTAAAGGAACTATATGATATTATATAAATTGGCGAATTTTGAAAAACAAATTTAATTATTGTGAAAATACACATACCTATCTGAGGCAGATGATGTTTGCATGCCTTTTTTGCATAAAAAGCCACCACTGCTATTTTTCCTGCTGACCGCAGATCTGTTGGGTGTCGAAGTTGCAGTGGCCGACGAACAAGTTACGGAACTGGTGTTAGGCGGACCAACTTCTATTACCGATTTATCCGATGATTCGTCCATTTGACGCTGCTGCTGACTTGTTTTATCGGTCATCTTGTCTGTGTATCTCAATTTTCACGTACTCGTATATGGACGTAAAGAGGAGGTGGGTAGGTGGGAGGGATCACCTCGCTGCTGTTTTAATGAATTCTTCACGATGACTTTTATGGCTACGATGTCGCTGTGGCAGCCCCGCGACGTAGCTATAAACATGAAACATGCGCGTTATATGTTAGCCGTTGTATATCAAACTTGTTCGACCTGTAAAAAGTTGTAATTTATATCTTTGAATTTTTTATCGTTATACCTAGATTTGAGAAAACTCGTCTGCGAGGGAAACAATTTTCATTTGGCATTAATGATTTTTTCTCTTCCCCCCCCCCCCTCCCCGTCTCTTGTTTTACTCTGTATAATACGCATATGCAAAAGAGAAATAAAGTAAATAGGAGTTCTGTAAAGAAAAAGCTAACAGCATTATACACTGTAAGTTTCGCGGTAAACAGGTAATTTTTGTAAAACTTTTACTCAGTCAAGTTTTTTTGCCGTTGAAACTTAATGCGCTTTTCACATCGAATCTTCTTTTTGCTCTGGTTAACTTTTTCTTTTTGTTAAAATTACGAAAATATATCGTCGCGAATTATTATTAGATTTTTACAGCTTATGCTTGTAATAAGAAAATGATATTATTCTAGAGTCTAAAAAAAAAAAAAAAAAATAATAGCGCAATAAAGTAATGCACATGATAGTATTATTTATGGAATTTAAATGTCAAAAATTTACACTCGCTTCAAGTAGTCGTATAGTGAAGAGTAAAGAATGCAGTAAATATGAAATTGTATACGACCGGTAGAAAAAACTGAATACGTTTGCGCTAGCGAGTATGCACTTATATTCCATTGCGTTTCGTATCCTAAAAAAGAACAATAGAAAAAAAATTCATACTTTTTTCCTTTATTCGCTTGAATTTTATAGTTTAATGAAAAAAATTGTTAATAAGAATATCGTACGTGCATTTTGTATCATATACTCTTGTTGCTGTACGAGAACGATTAATTGATTTCATGATAAATCATTGTTATGACTATAAAGGCACTACATGCGTGTAGCGCGGATTTTTCCTCTCCATATTTTTCTGAGACATGCCGTGTGCGTGGTGAGAGAGTCGAAGAAGCGCAAATAATTCTCCAATTTATTTTACTTTAACGTGAAAAGTTGCTGTTTATCCCGGAACCCTTCGTGTTTCCTCACTCGGTCTCTCTTTCTCTCTCACTCCATTTCAATTGTGCTCTTGACAGTTATAATTAATTGCTTTCATTTATACATATGACGCCGAGGCTCCGAACATTTCTACTGACCTGAGACGCATAAAAACAACATAATGTACACTATATACTTTGAGAACAGCTGCGTCTGTAGGACACAAAAAAAAGGCATACAAAAAAAGGGGAAAGAGAAAAATGAAAAGAAGCAGAACTTTAGCATATTTCTCATTGTTCGGAAAGTAGTACCGGCAAAATGCGAGAACATCGGTATTATAAGTTCACTTGCGCTAATGAAGTAAAAGTGTATAAAAGGAAAAAAAGATGTTCATGGTAAAAAATTCAGAGGCTGCTTCATGGTTGTATGAAAAAAGTGAGAGAGGTAAAAAGAGAGAGAGAGAAAGCGAGATAGAGAGTAAGGGAGGCAGAGAGAAAGAGAAATAAAAAGGAAAAGTGTACATAGGAACAGGATGAAAAAAGCTTTCTTTCCTGACATCGCGCACCATTGTATATCTATGTATACGCATATATACTTGCGCTATGTGCTTACGCATTCTTCGTCGAGCTATTTTTCGACCATACAATTTTCTGCCTTTACGTATACAGTGATTTCTTTCGTCGACCCTCCATCGCTCTTTACACCACTTGGACGCACTAACCCATACACATACAACTGGTATGATGTGTATTTGTGACAATACGAACGTACTCAACTCACGTGACACAAAAATAAACACGTGTGCTTTAGTGTCGGCACTCTTTGTCAGAAGCATATACTATGCGTGCATAGTAGGCCAGATTCTTGGAAAATTAAAAGAGCTTTCGATTTTCGAAGATGTCACTTTTGCTGATTGAAAGGCAGACGCGGCTCTTGGCAAATCACAGGGGCTGCTTTGATTTTGTTAATGCAACACAGGGAGTCATTAAAATCTTCTGCGGTCTCTCTTGGATGTTAATTATTCTCTTTTTCTGTGACTTTTTTTCGAAAAGAACAACGGGACCGAGTAGTCTGGTTACGAATTACCCATGAGCATGTGTGGGCGTCTGTCGGCGACGTGTACATGTATATATTGTATATATAAATGTATACACGTAACGATGATGACGGCGCTCGTCACAAAAGACCATTAAAAAACAAAGGAACGAGAGGATTCTCGACAATTTTACGCCTGCAGTCGTATAAAACCATTAGTGCCGCTCGTTCTCGTATTTTTCTCTAACTGTATAATAGTGGGAAAAGCCACTGATTTTAACATATTTTTGACCGTATATAGATGTTTAGTCCTTTGAAAATGTTCTTATGGTTCTTTTTTTCCATTGCCTCATTATAAAATAATGAATTTTTCATTCCAGCGCGCGAGGACAGTTCATTCAAAAGTTTACGGATATCTTTTTTCGACATAATTTAAGTTCAACAACAACAAAAAAAACACACAAACAAATGTAACATATGAATTTTATTTTTTTTGTCGGTAAAAAGGTTCAGAGTGAACACGTAAAAGATAATACTTTTTACAATTATGTCATTCAATTTGAACTTTGAACTGAGAACATGACTGGAAGGTTGAAATTAATTAAATTCGGGAAAAGTAAAGAATTAAAATTTGCGGTAAAAATCCAAATTTTTTAAATGTCAAAATACGAAAATGAATGTTGAAACTCTTTAAATACTATTGGGCTTACTCCTAGCGATTATATTCTCCTCGAAAAAATTGCTCCATTTAGATTAATCGAAGAATAATATAGCGACAATAATCCACTCTTTATAGTTTTTTATTCCTTACAAATGTTTTGGTTTTATGATTCGTATGATTTTTCTTTTATATAATATATATGTATATTAGATTGTATTAAACACGCGATGTATAATACACTTACATTTAGTTGTGCGAACCAAAAGCCTTAAACAGTGCACAGCATAGCTTCCGTGATTTTCATCACGTATACACTTTTTCATACTCTTATAATAATGAGTATTAAACTTTTTTACTCTCTGACCACCGCCATAAATCGTACTTTGTGGCCGGGACCAATCGAGCTTGTGCATTTTTTTAAGGCTCCTTTATTTGTTTTACATATAACCTAGAGTATATAGGCACAAAGGGGTACACAGACACGCGCGTGCAGTTCAAAGATGGACCACAATCCGAAGAGTGCATTGCGTTGCGAGGCATGCTTTTTCGAAAAATCAATACTCTGGCGGATTATTTAGTATAGCTACGTATGGACGCGGGGGTACGCCATCGGTTTCGCAAGTTTTTTTGCGCCTTCAATCTTGGCCGTAACGTGTGTCAAAGCTATGGGGATTTGAGAGTCGCAGAAAGCGACGGGGTAAAATTGTGGGCGAAAAACTTTTTTCCCGAGACTTTAGACACGCGCGCGACTTTATTTTCATCGGACGGTAATTTTTTTCCTAGCACGATTCCTCCCACGAGAGGATTTGACTTTCGATTGTAGCGAAGAAAGAAAAACTAGAGATTGCTCCAGTTTTAGTGGTGCTACGGTACTCGCGTAAAGAGATTAGAAAATACAAGCTTCGAATGAGCCTTGTTACCAGCGGATTATTAGTCCCGCGCAGAGCAAATATTTTTACTGTAGCCAACGACTCGTGATTTCGTCGAGAATAGGGTAAAATAGAATTTCGCTTCTCTCGCGTTCCGCTGTGTGCACGCGTATACGTTTGATTACTTTCGCCTTGATAAAGCTCGGCGAGAGAACATTTTGCCGCGCACAGACCCGAGATCTTTTATCAGCTATCACAATCTTAACATATGGCGTTTCGTTTGCCCATCTGCATTCATGCGTGCACTCAAAGAATCTTTCGCTACGTACGTTTCTCATTTCGACTGAAATTGAAAACCGAGTATTTAACGTGCGGGTCGCTTTTGTACACGTGCGCGCGAGCAGGTAAATCATTTTACGGCCGTGAGCAAGTAATTTCTAGTTACACTGTATAATGCTCATCGCTGGAAACTTTTCAACTTCTCTTTCTCTCGTTCGCTCTCGTCACAGTGCACAGATAACAAGTGTAATTTATTTTATTTTTTCGTTTCGTTTGTTTTTTGTACTATCTCGTTTTTCGCGCAACTTTCTATTGCACATAAATACAAGACGAACAGAGAGAGAAGAGCGACAAGAGGTAAGAAGTGAGGGAGCTTACTCTGTTATTAGGACCAATGGTCCTCGCCGTCGTTGTCGTAGTCGTTTTTTGTTACGTTGTTGTCACGCGCGAAACGCTCGAGACCATCTAATGCCTTTTTACGATTTTTCAGAATGTGCTTTCCGAGCGTTTGTTTCCTCGTTTTCCTTTGCTTCTCTTTTTCGTTCGGAGTTTCATTTTGTTTTTTCGTTCATCTTTATGAATAACAGTTCATTATTGTGTCCTCCTTCATTGCAGTTATTACAATGGAAATTTGTGAAAACGATTTTACAAGGGCTTTTTTGAAGTTCCAATAAACTCGTTTGGTCTCTTTTTATCGAGCTTTTATCGAGAGACCTACAAAAGTGACAAATTCCAAAGTGATTGAAGAATGTTTTAATCCAACCATGCTCTCATCCCGTATGAAAAAATCAAACTTCAGATAAAAACTGTTGTCTATTATTCGCCCTGCGTAAACAACCAGTCGACAATTTTGACAAGCCCGTATTTTGTTTTCATTAAATTTTCGAGAAATAATTGAACGATAACATTTATCTAACGAAGAGTCCACTAAAAAAAGGAAAAATATCATTGCTAATCAATGTTCCTATACGCACAACGCGAAAGTACACATGGATGCTTTCGAATGAAAACTGAAATCAATTTTATTCGAACGCAGTCGCAACTTTCAGCGATACCAATATTTAGATGGTGATACTAATTCATTCGACTGTTAAGTTAACTAATGAGCATTTAGAGCCGTATTAATATTTTTTTTCGTTTCAAGTTGATTACCAAAATAAAAAAAATAAAAAAAAATTAATCAAGCGTTGAAATGTTAATTAATTGCTTGCACACTCTCATACAAAAGGGAAGTCAGGTGAAAATTTTTAAAGATCGTACCCACTGCATTCGGAAATTTAATTATGAATGATAATCCATATGAATGAATTCCATACCTATGTGAGGCAGGTATTTTTGAAAAGTTTTCAGGACGCGCGATGATATACACTAAACTCCATCAAGCGAGGAGCAGCATCAGCAGCCCGGCCGTGTAATATTAGACGCGCGCAAGCGTGCGCGAATGAATTTTTTAAAAAGTTGGCGTCTACATAATGCAGCACCGAATAGGAGGTGTACGAGATGCACATATTTATATACAATATACACGTGAAAAGCTCACACACTTGCGCGCGTACGCGTTATGTAATACAGCAGGAACGTCAGAGGAGTGCGCGACTGAGCTTGCGATATTGAAAGTTTCTCTATTTTCGCTATGTAGAGAGAGAGAGAGCGAGAAAGAGAGCTATAGAACTCTAAAACAAGAAAACAAACTAATGTTCGCTCGGATTCGTAAGCTCCAAATGATAAATGAGCTTTTGTATACGTATATACAGGATTATGTACATGGAGATATTGTCACGACCCATATATAGCTGTGCTGCAGCGAGGGTACTCGCGCACGCCAGTGCATTAGCTAAAGATTTTTTCGCGTGCCAAATAGAGAGAAAGTACGACGATCTAATATAACATAAAAGAGACTTTTTCATCCACAAATCTGCTGGCTGCTATGGTATATAGAAAAACTTGCTTCATTTTTCATGATTTTGCAATGTTTATGCGACAGCGCGCGCAGCCGGTCCGCAAGCTGAATCTAAAGAACAAAGTTATACCTTGCCACGAGTAGCAGCAGCAGCAGCAGCAGCAGCAGCACAAAATGCATGTATATGCGCGCAAGTATATATAAATACGTGGCACGAGCAAACTCTAGCTTATACTTTCCACGAAAGTTGGCGCGCGAATGAATTTACGCGCTAACCTTTACGCTGTCACGGACTTTCTCTTTCGACTGACCGCAAGAACTTGTGGCTCGATTTTCGGCGACTTTATACAGTTAATATAGTATATGCATGAAAGCCCAGTGGCTCGAAGCACATAGCCCGCCGCTCGGTAATTCATAATATATCAACGCGCGGCGAGCTAAGAAAATGTTCTGCTACGCGTGATCGATTACTCGTAGCTCGTCGCGGAGTGAGATATTTACTAAATAGTTTATACATCGTTTAACTTTGCTGATGCTGGTCTTGGGTTTAAATTTATCGCGCGTACGAGTTTTGTGTAACCGCAATGCTCGATGATACTAACGATAAAATGAATGGCATTTAAACGACCTTGAGTTTCTTTAGAAAAATTGCGAAAAATAATTATACAAATGAATTTGCGTAAAATAATTTATTTTATACGTCCGAGCAATACGTTCGAGTAGTTTGGAAAGCATGAAAATTGATATATAGATATATTGAGTGACGGTATTAATTGCTTTGACGGTAGGTATTTCATAAACCGTTCATTTATGCTTCGCATCGAAATGAAAATTTAACCGAATTATAATTATCCGACTTTCGTTGTTCACGTTCAAACTTGGATAAAACTACCGAAACTGCTTTAAAAAGCAATGAAAAATAGGAAAACCTTTTTTTAGGTGAATCGCCGAGAAATCATTTTTAAAATAAAAATTCAGCGTCTTCGACGAGAAAAAAAGAAGTGTAAAGATGATACTATGCAAGAATTTCTTTACGCTCTTAACGCTTCAAGTATTGTATAGAATATGGAAGCAAATTGTTCATCCTTTGAATTTTTCATCTCATTATATTCTCGCTTAACGATTGCATTATCACCCGATACGTAATTCAGCGATGTGGTATTCTCTTCATTTTTTTTAATTTCCTCTTTGTCTGCACTTTTTCGTCGTACACCACGAAATGAAAACTAATTTGCATATTTTTAATACTTCTCGTTTTAAAAGAGATAACTATATGCGATTACGCCATCGGTGGACACACGGTACGATGCTATACTTCTCGAGCGGTGCTATTTTTTTTTAGCCTGGCTTTTCGGGGGCACGATTTGTTTGACGAAATATATAACAAGATGAAAAAAGTAAAGCGCAGTGCTGAAGAGAATAAAAAAAGGACGTATGAGAGTCATCGAGAGAAATGCCTTGTTTATGTGTTCATATAAGATTGGTTTTTTACGAGCAGTGCGGGTAAAAAAGGAAGCCTTTGACGATTGAGTTATTATATTATGTGAATACACAAGAGCGGCGCAGGGACGTAGGAGAGTTGGTGGAGAGCGTGAAAAGCTTAAGAGCAAGTATTTGGACGCTGTGAATTATGTGATGCTTGCAGGTGAGCCGCATTTACACATAAATATAAACATGTACCAGGGTCCTTTTTTTCTTATATTCGTATTTCGTTTAGAGTGAATTTAAAAAAAAACTTTTCGAAAATATTCTACGACACCAAAAAAATTTGACACGATATTAAATAATAAAGTTTGTAAAAAATTGTCCTTTTTACTGCTTTCCAGCAAAATGCTCTAGTTCGCGATAAGCTACAATAAACAAATTAAAGCAAAAAGTAGAGAGTGCATATAAGAAGACTAGAAAAAAAATAGGAGCGAGTGTTTTGAGGAAAAAACTTTGTCGCATGCAGAGTGGAGGGAGAAAAGAGATAAAGTTTATAATTTATCTATGTCTAAACAACAATGTACCCATGCAAATGAGGTAAAATACAGTATACGATACTCTGTTGCGCTTGGAAAAATTGTCAAACTGTATGGAGCGGGAGTTTCAAAATTCGCTTATTTCATTTTAAAAATAGATTAATCATTGTTCAACTATTTGGAACGAGAAAATTAAATCATGAAAATTGTTATTTTTAACTTTATTGCATTACCCTCGTTAACCAAGAAATTTTCAGTTATTATTTTCAACGAATTTATGACTTATAATATGCGAAGAGCGACAGTTGAAAATATTTAATTTAATAATACAAATCAATGCGCAATTTGGAGGGAAAGTGACATATTGTTATAGCATCTGAATTTTGATGTTTGTTTTGAAAAAATACGTAGATCAATTCTCGATCCGGTGTCGAAGGACCTCTCAAGCGATATTTTCAGCTAAACTTTATAAGCCAAGAGTAGTAAAAAGAAAGAAGTAAGCAAGTTTTTTGTGTCTTTTCTCGGCACACGACTCTTTATCTAACAAAAGAGAGCTCAACATTTTCAAGTACGCAAATTCAACTTGTGACAAAGTAAGCCCCTACCCCCTTTCTCGTTTTCCTTATCTGGCATGCGTTAACGTTGTAAGGACTCGCTCTCGTAGAAAGGAAAGAAAGAGAGACAGAGACGGAAATGCGAGCGTTAGAAAGTATGAAGCGAAATTGTCAACTCGAAGGCTCGAAGCGGTGCGGCACGAAAAGAGCAGTTTTTATTTTATGAAAGTATTCTCGAGGTTATCTCTCTCGAGCTTCTCCTCTTGAGATCGTCGCAAATACACGCACACACGTGTACGCGCTCACTATATATACATAGCAAGACCACAAGAAGGTTATTTGGCCAACGGCTGACACTTAACGCTTAAGGATGATTATGTATATTACTCATATAACTGCGCTTTGTGCGCCAAATCGCTCCAGAGAGTCGACGATTTGCAAAATAATTTCATAAATTTGTCGGACTCAAGATAGAAAGCTCTTGACAATGTTTCGAGAGCCGTTTATTGAGAAAATTCGAGTTTAAGTACCCAAGTATAAGATCGCAAAACGCGCAACTCTGTGTCGGTTGAGCGAAATTGCGACTAGTTCGTTGATAAATTGAACTTTTATCGAATTTTTGATAATAATGCCATTACGCGATACAAGTAATATTTAGACTGCTGTGCTCTGCCTCTTCGAACTTTTTATGACAGATGTGTTATTATAGATTAGCATTTTTATTGAGAGAATATCAAGCAATATTTTCTATGAACGACTGGCTTATAAATTTTTTATCATCTATTTAAAGCCGGCATATGCTTTATGATTGTGTTGATGAAATTACATGCTTATGTACACATGAACGTTCCGTTTGCACGTAAATAAACGGAATATCATTCATTTTTATTTTCAATCTTTATCGAAATAATTTTTATTTGGTTTTCACCCTTCTAAATTTTAATAGAACAAATAGAATCTTGAAAATTTTGAAATTTTCTGATTTGATTAAATTTTCAGTTATTGTCTAAGTCAAATAAATTTCATGCATTAATTTTTAATCCATTTTTCAAATAATCATGGGAAGTTAAAAGAAGGGCAATTTTGAAACATTCCAAGAGTAATAAACTCGAGAGAAATTTGTTTTAATCAAAGGGAAATTACCTGTATGAGTACAATCGAAATTTTATCATCCTACGTGCTTTACTTCATCCCTGACTAATGTCGTCCTTACACTGCACAGAGATATGCATTACATTAATATAAATTTTCCAACTCGTTCTTTCTATCGGAGGCAAGCGATTGTCTTGTGTGCTATTGAAAAATCGTTAAAGGCGAAACTGCGAAGCTGAACATTCGATTACAATCTCGCGCACTTAGCCATCGGCGATAAAATACAAATACATATAGATATATATTGGAATAATAATCGCCGAGTCTGCTCACAGAGGGACGTATATAAGAGCTAGAGAGAGAGAAGCAACAGTTGCGCACCGCACGCCACTTATAGAATATTGCGCACAGCACAGAGCACGTAGCACAGAGCACTGCGAGTGATAAAGGTCTACGATCGGCCAGGCGACCGTCGACTCTCGCGGCTAGCCGTGAACTGAACTCTCTCGGCGCCTCTCTTCCTTCTCACTCGCAGTGCCGTGCACACGCTTGGATATAGGTATAACGCGAGCGCGCCGTACCTAAAGCAGCGCGCAACTCGCTCGCGCTAAACCCTCCACGAGCTTGTAGCACGTTTCCAGTCGGCGATTTGCATGTACCCCGAGCGCAGCGCGCACTCTAGTCTTGTAATACACTTGCACGGGCGAAGCCAACGTCCCGAAGAAGCTTAGAATAATTTTCTGCCTCGCGAGCTTTTTTTTCACAATGCTTCGTGGCGCGCAGTTCCCAACGATCGCTGAAAGTAAACGCATAAAAATCGAGCGCTTCTCGCTCCCTCATAATATATATACGCTTAGATAAGAAACTGGCAACGCCGAATGCCATCGGAATACTTACACGCAAAAATGCGCACACGTTCGCAAAATATTTTCATACTACATGTGTTATGTACCCTCTCGCGTCTCTTATAGATATACTGCGATTGGATTATTCGAGTTATGCCGAGTATTTTGATACCGGAAAACATCCGGATGGCTCGAGCGCGGAGAGCTATGAGCGTAAAAAATCGCAACACGCTTCATACCTAATACGAAACGAAAAGCTCGCGCGAGTTGATACTCGATAAATTTTATATCGATGCACTAAACAGTCGTATGTAGCCCGCGTGTATATATGCCGCACTACTACTGCCTCGCAGCTCGACTAATCGTGTGCAAGCTGACGCAAATCATAATTCGCCTTATCGACTGTACGCGGCGCGAGTACAGCTCCGCAGCGGCATGTAGCCTCGAACGAGTGTTAATTAGAAATCGCCTATGCAATTATCGCGCTCGTTACTTCCAACGTAATTATATTCTTTCGAATGTACGCTCTGGCGAACGACGACTGCGTACGCGTGTATATGAGACTGTGCGCGAAAGGTCTAATTTCATTATACGCGCGCGCCTGTGTACAGTGTTCCTGGCGGCGTGTGTTTAGTTATATACGCGCGCGTGCAAAGAAAGTTCCAACCCCGCGTCGCCGCTTGGTATGTAAAATTTTATGATTAAGCTAAGTTAACGTGGCTAAACTTTTCCGACAACTTTTCACGCAGTCGAGCTTACATGATTGAATGCACGTTTATGAAGATTGCAGGCTGACTTGACGGCAAGAGTTTCATCTTTTTGTCCCGACCAAGTCTGCTTCTGCTGCTCTGTTCTGCTTGAACACATAAAAAGCCATAATGAAAATGTTTACGCACATCTTTCTCCAAGATCAAACTTTTTAACGCGGTCAATCACAATTCTTTTTCTTAAATTGAAGTTTTTGAATTTTTGAGTTTAAAATATTCACTAGTCTTCATATTGTTCGCTTTTCAAATTGTATTTAAACGTAAAGTTAACGATTTTTGGATAGGTTTTTCATGATGCTAAATATTTCTTTGAACGATCGCATATTATTTTTGTAGCATAAAATTTTTTTTAAAGACCTATTTGAAAACTTTAATCTTTATGCTAACCTCAGTTGTTAATATTACCATCAATAGGCTTGCTGCTATCATGAGTAAAACTATTTTATTACTTAGATCGTAATGAAATAAGATTATAACGATACTACTCATTCAACTTTCTTTTTAAAATCTTCGTTTTATTAGATAAGTTATTTATACACTATTACAAATATTTATATCAAGATTATCTTGAAAAATATATAAATAGTATAGAACTTGGTATCTTTTTGTACAACAACTACTTCGTGCAACCCGTTTAAAATCAATAAACATTTGAAACAAGCTGAACGATTTGTGTGAGTGAAAAAAAACCACCCAAATGTTCCGATAATTCCAGTAAAAATGAGGACTTTCAATAAAGTTATGAATTATTATTTTATATTCTGATTTAAAAAATATGGATGCGTTCCTCTGAAGTTCAAATTTTTTGATTTATCATTATTTTTTCTATGTATCGAAAAAATAAAGGTTTTAAAAAATTTTAGCCTTTGTTATTAATGGCATATTATCCCATGCATAATCATTTTATGAATTTTCAGTAAGTAGTTCATGCGTAGGTCAGTTTACTATCTATTTGGTAGTTATGCAGTAATATGTAGAAAATTAATTTTTTTTTGACGGATTAAGTTATTTTGTTAATTTATGCACCATGTGAAAGATGCTAAAAAGTTCTTACACATAATCCATAAAGCAAAGTGAAAAATTGGCTGATCTTGCCGTGGAATTTCAATGACACTCAAGAAGCACTGGTAGTTAATGTTCGTTTGACGAGAGTTTTAGAACTTTGTAAGAGGTATACATGAATACTGTTACTCGAGCAATGGATCACATATGTACTTTTAATTTTTTTTGAGTTACACTTCAAGTTAAATGAGATGATATGTTTTCTCTATCAAATTTTTATTTAATATTCTTGAAATAATTTTAGTTTGTGCACTATAGAAACACAATTTTTTTAGTAATAAGTTGAAGTAATAAAAAATACAATATACCTAATGTCACGTAGTAAAAGTACAGTATTTATGTATTTTACATTTTTCATCGTAATTGCATGCGTTGGAAATTTTTCTGAGAAAAGAAGAAAAATGAACCTCGCTACTGCAATTTTTTCTTTTTTTCTCGTTACAAATGTACAAAGAGCGAGATCTCAAGCTACTGATAATGATATTGACTCGTCGATCATCGTTTTTGCAGGCATTGTCAAATGGAAAAATGCATTTATCACTTGGAGCTGCACAAGTTTTCATGGAGAATAATTAAGGAAATAAAAATTATGATGGGAGATGCGTCAAAGATTAAGCATTGATTTTATAAAAAGACTTAGATGGTGTAAATTTTATTTTCATAGTCTGCAATTGCCTTAGAACTTTTAAAAATAAATTTATCAAAACTGCACATTCATATCGATTCAAGGCTAAATTACATTCTAATCGTTGAAAAGTTAAATTACCTGAACAATACTAATTGAGCTTTACCCATGTTACTTTCGATACTTTTGTCCCTGTCTTCCCGATGCACTAGATTGCTCACATGTATGCAAAATGACACATACATCTATGCAGGAAGCGTGGCTAAAGTCCAAGTTTTCTTCTGTAATTATATTAAGCTCTCTAATGGTTTCGCGCAAGTTCATCCAGCTCGTTAATTAAAATACATATACGTACGCACCTAAGTTGGCCGAAGAAAGTATCTATAGTGACCTCGCGCAGATAAATTATATAATACGCTCACCGAAAGAAATAAGCTTATATTTCCATGATTCCACTGGGAAATTAATCTTGTAAACTTTTGAGCTTAATAGCTAATTTAGATCTATATTAAAATTTGCTTCGACGCTTTTGCATGCCGCGCCGGAAGACGTCACGGAGAAGGTGAGGAGAGTGAGTACAAGTGTACGTGTGAGCAGTGCGCCATTATATTTTTATTGAGTATGTGTGTCGTTAAGTTCTAGAAATTTTTATTATAAAATATACGCTTGTTATGACTGCACTGTAATTGTTCCTGGAAGATTCATTTACCACTCGCTCGTCTCGAAGACAAACTTTATCATCTCTTAAATTTTTAGCGAGAGTGTCAATAAGAGTATACGCTTTCATTAGTTGTTCATAAAAAGATGATTTATTAAGAAATATTGTTGTGATATGTTATGTAAAATAATTTTTCTGGTGTTAAAAAACCATCATTTGCGGCATTAATTTCATTTATAAGATTGATTCAAAAAGTTTATAGCTTGTGCTAAATGTACAATGAGAGCTTTCACGTGATACTCCTCCTCAGTGTTCCTCAAGACGTTGCTTACTTCGAGATAAAAGTTTCTTTTGAAATATAAGCAGTGTATTTTCCGTTTCATTTCCATTAAAAAATTATTTTAAAAACTTGAAAAGGCAACATCTGTTAGGCACATGAGTTGCAAATCTTAATTAAAAAATCTTGGCAGCAGACACGAATAAAGATATGAGTATATATGTGACATTAAAGCCCTGTAAGAAGAAATGTCTATATATGGTCGACTTGGGAGAACAAGTGTAATGAGATTTCGTTCCGCACATATAAGCTATATCATGCGTGAAACACGCGATTGGAATGTGAATGAATTATTCGATGATGGATTGTCGCTACGATTTGCAATCACAATGTCTGTGTATCAAATATTTTTTATGCGTTTGTTCAGCTATAAATCGTTGGCTACATATGCAGTTAGCAAGATTTACCTTGAAATAAAAGTAATATGTTTTTATTTTCAATAAACAGGGTACGTGCTGAGTGAGAAAAAAGAGAATCACGTCGCGATTAATTGGAAATTTCCATTTTGTAAACACGGTAAATTTGCATATATTTAATGCCATATTTAACGAACAGAATTTTCATATTTATTTATTTATTTTTAATTTCACGCTGCTGTACAGTTTTTTAAGTATGCTTTCGAGTTAAATCTACTTAAAGTTGTGGATGAAATTAGGTCAGGCATAGGTAGTAATTAATTTATTGAAATCAATAAATGCTGTAAAATTGATGTATAACTCGGTGAATCATCGTTCGCTAGAAGTTTCCATAAAAAAGAAATGCAATAAAAAAAGCTCGCGAGCGTAAAAAAGTAGGGGTGTGCATGTTTACTCTTGTAAGATTTTCTTTTTCATAAGAAAAGTAAGCTCTTTTTTTCTCTTTTACATGTATTGTGTACAAATAGAATGGAAAACAATGTGTAATATATAAAGCTGGCGACTAGTAGCCGCGTGTCTTTTTGTCTAACTGTGCGGCGCGCTTGTGACACGAAAGTGGAATTTCTCATCGAGAGTTCTATTCCGCACGCTCAGCTGTTATTGTCGGCTTAACACGTATACGCACTATAAATCGACATTTTCCTCTTTCAGGCATTGGTCCTCTGTACGCGCAGCAAAGTACAAGAATAACCCTGACGTTTGCGGTTTATAGCGCGCTTAGTTTGACGTGATCCGCACATACATACACGCGTCGATATTATATTAT